AGAAGCCCAGAGTCTGGCCACTGACTAACCACTAAATCAAGATCCTGCACAACAAACCCTCAGGTCCAGGCTTGGTGAGCTAACACACGAGGTGGTGGTGAAAGGACCTCTGGCTTCCCCAAAACCGAGAGCACAGGAGTTCAAACAGTTTCTTAAACTGGTATGTGGCTACCGCACTAAGGATGCCATCTTCACTATTAATTTTGTTCAGAGATGTGGGGTGGGGGAGAGCTAAGACAGTGAAGGTATATTGCTAGCCTGAAGGCAAACTCCTGATGCTCTTTAGAAACAGCTGTGGAGAAAAACACAGTGGCTAGATCGATAGCTGCATACCAGGTACTAAGTTGTTGTTGTTGTTGTTATGTGCCGTCGAGTCATACCTGACTCATAGCGACCCCTCCTTGGGTTTCCGAGGCAAGTGTCTTAGCCACTATGCTACCAGAGCTCCTCCAGGTACTAAGAGATGTATCAATTTGCTCAAGCAGTGAAACCACATCTGGAGTATCAGCTGCAATGAGAGTCACCACCTGGTGATGTTCACAGTAATCCACTGTCATTTTCCAAAATCCATCTGTTTTCAGCACAGAACAAATTGGTGACTTGAATGGAAACGTGTTGGGGATTTTCACCCTTCCTTCAAGTCCTTGATCGTGGCACGATCTCTGCAGCTCCTCCAGAAATGCAGTATTGCTTTGGGTTCACTGTTTTCCTAGGTAGAGCAGTTCTAATGGCCTGCACTTGGTCTTTCCTACTGTAATGGCCCTCACTCTCCATGTCAGGGATCCAGCATGGGAATCTAGCAGCTGTTGGGTATGTATATTCCGTTATGCATTCTAGAACTGGGGACACTGCTACAGGATAGGTTCGGAACCCACTGTGAGAAGGACCTGAGCTAAAGCCCCATCAATAACCTAACCTCTTCACACCCCTACAAAGAGCCCTGCTGGCACAATGGCTGAGTGAGTGCTCGGCTGCTAACCAAAACTTGGGCAGTTCGAATGCACCAGCTATTCCGTGGGAAAAAGATGTGGCAGTCTGCTTCCATAAAGATTACAGCCTAGAAACCCCTAAGGGGAGTTCTACTCTGTCCTATAGGGTCACTGAGTTGGAATCAACCCTACTCTGACTGGTGCACTGCTGTGATGTTTTGGGTCTCCTAGAATTAGTGTCAGTCAGACTCAGTGTCCAGTAATCCTCAAAAAGTCTGATTATTTCTTTTTCCCCAATCAATAGTCACTCTCATAAAAGGACACAGAAAGATTACCAGTATAAATTTTTGGCAGTATAGTCGGTCTTCCTCAAG